CACACACACTGTGCACACACACACACACACACACACACACACACACACACACACACACACACACACACACACACACACACACACTCATACTCCAGCACAACACAATGGTGTCACTGCAGACCTCTCCTCGTCATCTCACCGGTGCAATTGTCTGTGTCTGGGAGATAAGTGTGTCTTCCTGCCCTTCTGTTGCCGTGGTAACCCCTGACTGCAGCGTCCAGGTGAACTGAAACCCCTCCACAGCTGCCGGGTCCAGTGCATGCTGGGACATCCTCCAGCGAAGCGTCGTCAGCAAGGTGCCAAATTTGACTTGCTGGAAGTCTGCAGTGAGTCGTTCTGGACGCAGTACCACCTTTCTGCCTGACAGGAGGCGCTCTGACATAAACATAAATGATAGAAAACTCAAATTGAAATTGTTACTCAGTAAATTTAATATGACAACATGTTAAAATGTTCTCAACTATCAATGGGGGCATTATTATAATGGAAATGATTTGTGCATTTAACTGTCTGCATATAGAAAAGGTTGTTTGGTTACTGGAATTTTGTGATAGTATATATGTTTCAGTGTATGTGCAACTGTGTATTCAGTGTTTGTTCTTTTTGGGCCTTAGTGTTCTCAAAGAAGACAAGAGACCTTCTTTCCAGATCTATGTTTTAACAGGACCGCAGGACTAATGGAACAATACGTGTGTGTGTGTGTGTGGACATTTATTACTCATGTTGTAGTTACACCAGGGGTCAGTAACCTTTACTATCAGGCAGTTTTGCAAAAAAACAAATGTCTGGAGAAGCACTGGTGGAGAAAGCCAACACATCTGTATGTGCACTATTAAAGAAAATGTCTTTAAGATTGCATCCTCTGTTATACTGTACTCTTCTTGTAAAACAAAATCTGACGCATGCTTACGTAAGCATAAACTAACCGTTTTCAACCGTCAATCAATCTTTAAGTCTTAGCGACACAGAGCAAAGATTCATCAGTTAGCTAGCTAGCAACAGTATGGTTTTCTGCCGGAGCGGAGTGTTTCTGGAGGGTCAGACCTTATTGATTATAATAGTGATAAAAACACAAATCACTTGTTTGACAACAGTGGAACTGAGGTGATTTATGGAGTTTCCAGATGGACTTGTTGCTAAAAGAAACACTAACTGTTGCCAACTTAGCGCTAAGGTGACAGGAGCCAAAACTGCCAATAAAAACACCTCAATACTTTGTTCCCTGTTGTCAAACCTCCATCTGCATCGGATGCTGCATTCAGTCCCGGCCTGGGCTTGTCCCTGGTTGCTCCAATCCCAGCAGAGTCAGCTAATACAACCGTTACAGCTGCTGGACTGGGGAAACATAACATGCAGTGCTAGTGCCTCCCTAGCACTACATGTTATGTATGCACTGCATGTTTCCCTTTTAAAGGAAATATGTAAATGTGCAGAAGCACAAATCTCTCTAATTTCAGTTTCACCTTGTATTCAAATTCTTTATTTTCTTCCAAAATTTTCCTTTTTTTTCATGGCTACATATCCTAGAGACTCAAGACAAGTGCCCACTGCTATTGAGGTTTGGCAAAATATAGAGGAAAAGGCGCCAGAAAATGTGTGTGTGGCTATTATACAAGCCACAGGGAGCCGCTGGGGAGGGGCTAAAGAGTCAAATGTGGCTCTGGTGCCAAAGATTGCCTACCCCTGGTTTAAACAGTCACATTGTGCGGATGCAGATTGCAAGTCCCAATAACGTAAATCATGGAATTTTAGGGTGAAGACTTAAGGCTAGGGTAAGCTTAGGTTTAAGCAAATAGTAGTTAGGGTTAGGGTGAGTCTCCCGGAAATGAATGAATGTAAGTCAATGTAATGTCCTGATGGTGGTGGAAGTGATGGAAGCAAGACTGTGTATGTGTGTGTATTTAGTTACTCTTACCCTCAGTGTTGCATGGCAAAGCTTTGCCTCCTCTGACCCTGATAGAGGAGCAAGTTGGGGTCGTAACCCAGGCAACAGCCTCTGACCCCGGGTCGGCCTTCATTGCCACGGCGACCCGGTACTTACAGGCAAACAGCAGTCCTGTGATGGTGTGATGTGTGCCCTGGAGAGAGAAAATTAAGTCAAGTTAAAGATAAAAAGAAAGACATTACAGTATAAACTGTACACAGCTGGTTGTTAAAACTGACGTATTACAAGGTTCCTTAAAATATACATATTACCTCTATTTTTGTTTGGGAACCTGTCTCATATAAGCAGCTCGTTAGCTCCATGTTAAAATAAACACCACAGTTTGAAGCGGCACTTGGCAGCTTTGCAGGTTGGCAGCTTCAAATGGTGAGAAATGGCATAACTGTTAAACTGTTTAAAAAAGGCTGAACTTCAATGAACTGAAATCATACTCTGTGACCTCAGCAAATTGCACACAGCACTTTGATATTTATCAACTCACTGGGTCTGTGATCATTTTAGATGAGAGGTTACGACTGGTACAACAGTGGGTAAAGATCTACGCCGTATACACTCAGTACCATGAAAATGTTCCTCTGTATTGGAGCCTGACTTCATGATTCGACTTTAAAATATGTGAAGTTTTTGTTTTAAATGTGGAGTAAAAGTAGATTTAGTTTTTCCCATTTTAATTATGGTGACATTTAATGGTTAGTACTCAGTGCTGAGATTATTCTGCAAATGACTTTCCCACGCATCAGTCAAACTATCGTACATTTTTGTCCTTGTGACACACAAAAGGGAAACAGGAATATAGAATATTTCAGCCAGGGATTTGACAGTTATGGTACAAGTGATGTTAGACAGAGACAGAGAGAAATGATGGCAGAGAGACAAAGTTACACACAGACAGAAGACGAGAGCATTCCAGACTGATCTGAGTTATGGTGATGAAATCTGATCTCTGATACACACAAATACACACAAAAAGACACCACAACAATGCTCACATAGAAACAAGCCTTCTATACACAATTTCAAGAGCACAGACACACATAAAACCCAGCAGAGTAGTTATACCTGCACAGTTGTTGTTCTCTCTGTGCTTGTAACATTAGTACTGCAGGTATGTGGACGCCACCGCAAAATGTATGGACCAAGGTGTCTCTGTCTGCCTGTAAAGGAAAAAAAAAAAGAAAGAGAGACACATACTACATAAGTTGACATGTGTTTATGTTTATCTGTGTCATCATGAATTATGCTGTTTGAAACCTGAGAAAAATATGTCATGATACACACTGATGGACGTCTTGCATTCTCCCCTTTTTCCCTTGCATGTTTTATCTTGTTAGTAGATCATGAGAGTTATCTGCACCTGGTGAACACCTTATAGTGTCTTTCATGTGAGAACAAATCAGAATTAGGAACTAAGGGAATGTTTCATTCACCTTCTTTCTGTCCACGTGTCTCACTGTCGATGTGTTTGTCTACCTGCTTACAAGTCAAGTTGGTTTATATAGCCCAGTTTGATAATGATGTGTCACAGTGTGCTTTACAGGCCCACAATCCAGCCCAAACTCAATAAACCCAATAAAAGCTCCACAAAAACATGTTTTATTTATGCACTTAATTTGTATAAAATAAAAATATATACCTCTCCACCAGCAATTTAAACATATGATTCTGCGTGTAGAGTTTAGAGACTAATAAACCAAAATCTGTTTAAACGCTAACATCTTCTAGTAAAAGGTCTATCTTTTCTCTATTCTTTCTTGATGATACATATTTGCAGAAATAGAGTTTTGGCCTATTCATTCTCATTGAAGATGATTATTTTTAGCAAAACCTGCATGTGAAGCATCAATATGTAGAGTATATTGTCATTTAATGCCATGGCCTTTGAAAAGTCTGGATTCTGATGAACTTTTAATTACTGGACAGTATAATTAGACCCATGTGTTTGATTGCAGTTCAAAATGAATAGGCCTCAGCTAAAGAGCTTGGAAGTCTTGTTATTTGTATTTAACAGGATAAAATAACGTTAACTGCAGTGAAGCTGTTAGCCTGAAAAAGGAAAAAGTCATACATACATGTATATAGTGTGTCTGTGAAAGACTACGTTATATTTTCTCCGCTGGAAAAACAGTTTTAATAACATTATGTGGCAGCAATAAACTCACCATGGTTAGGCCACTTCCAGAACACCTTCACCTGCAGCTGGTCGTCATGGTAATGAGGGGCAGCGACCTCCAGGCGCAGGTTGCCAGAGGTGACAGGGTTGAGGGGGGATTCAGGGTGAGGCAGAGAGGAGGAGTGGGGGAGGTCAGAGGAAGAAGGGGAGGAGGATGAGAGGGAAGGAGAGGAGGGAAGAGATGATGAAGATGAGGAAGAGGGGAGCTCATTGGAGAAGTCTTCGCCTTGGGTGGAGGAGAGGAGAGAAAATAAATGTTACTATTTCAAAGTTTGGCTGATTTGAAGGTCTTTCTATTGAATGAAAACAAACGGGGCAGTAAAATGTAATTTTTTATGACTTTTTACTACATTTCTTGCAAATTTTCACAATAAAATGAAAACAAGAAACACTGGATGCAGGATGTTCCTTATTATTTACATAGTAGCTGTTCTGAATACCTATAACTGTCAACATCACAAAAACATAACATATGAATGACTGGTTGTATAAAACATGTTATATAGCACATGGATTATATAAATCTATTATATTGTTCCAGGAATATCATAAACTGGGGACTAGAGTGCAGCTGGTAGCTAGCTTTCCCGTCAATTCATTCACTCAGAAAAACTAATTGGTTTTATCTGGCCTAACTGACCCTCATTAGCATTGAGAGAAACCAGCCCAATACGTGCACTGTGTCAAATATTAATACTGCTAAATTATAAATGGCAATATGTTCCATATAAAATTGTTAGTATGTGGTTTGATAATTGAGCTGCAGCTGGCTATAATCATCTGCTGGGCTGACCGACAGGTCACCTATAAATACCTCTGTTGCCTGGACGACCATTAACATCGCCACTTTCCAGTGTATGTGTGTTTAAACAGTGCAGCTGTAGTGAGACAAAATATGCTGACAGTCAGCATCTGCAGCAGTTCTGAACTAACTAATAATGTATGGCTCTGTTGACAAATGGGTGCTGTGCAGTGTACATACAGTATTTACTAATGGTATGACAGGTTAATGAAATGTACTTGAGTGAGTCTCTATTTGAGGTAAGGTTGCTAGACGAGACCTTAGGTGGCTGTATTCTTGAATCACAGCAACAAAAACAGTACGGCAACAGTTTACACTACTTGTGCAATAAACCTCAGTCTACTGAGCAACTCTTAGCTTTATTTATAGCCCCTTACTGTTTATCCATACAAGACAAAACAGTTCAAAACCTACTGTAAGTTTTTGTGACTTCCCAAAAGTTATATATTTATATTTATATAGACATGATGCTCATCGAAACTGGTATGGCAACAGTGAAAACACTGGATTCATGGTATGTAAGCTGCAGATGTTTAACCAAAAATAATTACTCCTTCAGATGAATTGCAGCTGTAGCTCTTTACAGCCACTGTAAAAAAATTATTAATAGTTAGACAGCCCTTTAATGGATTTCAATCATATTCTACTAAAAGTATGAGGAGCAAACCGGATACAGTGGTAACTGTTACTGTCCATGCCATGATATGCAGTTCATTTTAAGGCATACCACCCAGCCCTGTGAGGGAGATGTTTGTTTACCTGTATGAGTTATTGTAGTGAAGACAGTTTGAGCTCTGGGACTTTTCAGCCTCTTCTGACCCCAGTAGGCCACCGTCTGGACAGAAATGAAGTAGGAAGTAGCAGGCAGCAGACCCTGCAGCCACAGCTCACACTGCGCCTACAACACAATAAGAACAGGAACATGGAAAGAGAAGTTTTCTTAGGGTTTTGGAACAGTGGTTCTTGGCTATTTTTCGGTCGGTCTTAATTCACTTGGTAGAAGTTACAGAAATGGTACCAAATGAAAAAACTAAATAACTCTTGTGCATAAAAAAAAGTCCCTAAACTTAATCACCTATTCAGGATCACCACTAATGCCACCATCTTCATCATCCTTACTGTCTTCATCATCATCCTGAGTGTTGTGTGTGCCCTGCTTTGTGACTGACAGTCCAGACCTGTCTGTTATGCATTATCCCACTGTTTGACTGACAGCTCATTAACAGGCTCTTAGTCAATCAGGTCTGTCTGCCTGGATTTTGAGCTAGTCACAACAAAGAGATGCTTGGATGATAACAAGCCTGTGTGTGTGTGTGTGGTTCTGTATGTGCGTACACTTAAGACAGAATGAGACAAAAGCAAGTTAAAAGCAGTTTCTTGGTGACCTGTAGACAAAATGGGGTTGAAGTATTTCCATTACGCTCAAGATAGACAAAACATATGGCCTGTACAGCTGTACGTGTGTGAGTGCGTGTATTTGTGAAACAGACAGCGAGAGAAGCCTGGGTTTCTATTTTGGTGCATAATGTCAGTGGACATTATATGTAGGAAGCTGATGTATATTTAAAAGCACTGATTCAGCAGAGGTTTTTCTATGTTTGAATACTTCTACTTTTAGTTCAGGATTAATGCTAAATCCCTCCAGTCGTACACACATTCCTGATAGACAGGATACGTGTTTTATAGACATCTAGAGGATGTGTTATCATGTGCTAATGGAGAGCAATAAAATATTAATGCTTTCCGAGATATGAAAACTCTTCTACACAGCATAGAAATGTTATTTTGGTTCCTACCTACCTGTTGTGATGCTGCTGTCTCTGTGTCTAGATGCAGCTGCAAGTAGGAAAAACTAGTTAGGGGGCCTCATTTAAATTCCAGGCCTCCCAACCAAGCAGAACAGAGTACCAGACTACAGATAAATGGCTCCACCAGGCTCAGTCTGGGATCGCCATCACTACTTAGGATAGCTAGGTCCATATGAGTGCGCTTGCATTAAAACCTTGAAACTGGTTGATGCTTATGTTTTTAATTTGTTTGTCTCTTTTCTCAAAGTGAATGTTAACCTTAGAGATGAACATTTAAAGTGGGTCTCAAGCGGAAGGATCCTGTGTACAGTTTCCTAATTTGAAGAAGAAATGTTCAGTCACTACACAGGCAATCATACCCGTTGCATCAAAGCTGTAATAGCTGTGTTGTTTACTATGATTATGGGTATTTTGGTGCTGCTGACTGGACTTAGTTGCATTGTGAACGTGTTATATCATCATCGCACCTATAATCATTATAGTAAAATCCCTCTTGACTGTCATTGCTGCATTAAATATAATTTCAAAGGTACAGCAAGAAACCTGTTTTATTTCTTCAGAAGTTACTCTTTGAATTGAGCAATGACTCGCTTCATTCAAATAACTTCACATCCCATCCGTCTAATGCTTGTTATCACATTTATATGTTGTGCTGGCAGCTACAGTAATGAATGATCATTTAAACATCAGTCATATAACTCTACCTTTAACCAGATCTTTACTTCTATGATACACTCTCTCACTAATGCCCTCGTGCTGTAGTCACTGGCATGCTGTCAGTAAATTCCCAGATGCTTTGACTTGAGTTAAACACGTTATCCAAATGCAGGAAAGCCACTCTCTGTTGTCAGTCAATCTACATGGCTAAGTTGTCATGTTATTTCATCGTTGTAAAGCCTGGACTCTAACAAAGTTATGTCCCATGAAGATAATGGTATGTCTGTCTGAGGACAATATTTCATTTTCAGGTCCAAAAGGAACATATGCACAAAATATCTGTAAAAGTAATGGGAAAGCGTGCCAAACAGTGATTTCAGGGTGAATATGTGCAAACTATATCTAAAGTAGTTCATATGTACACATTATGTTGGTAAATATGTTATATGTAACATCATAAATCCACACCTAGAAAAGCTGAATTATCTGTAAAAAGTTCCAGTGATTTTTGCTTTATTTGCATTATATAAATCCACATCCTTAATTAAGACGTCTGAGTAGTTCTCTCCACATAATCCCCTAATTACTGGCCACAGGTGGTTCAGCAGGACATTATTTAATTTGCGGTAATCATTTAATGTTAATATTAAGAATTAATATAAAGGAGTGTTAAACCATTTGGTGTGTGTTGCTTCCTCTTTACTTGTGTAATGGTCAACCTCAGTCATACACAACCACTTGCATACAGTAGCTGTTTACAGAACCTGTTCTGTTTGAGCACTGCAGAGGCCTGTAAAATCACTGCAGTAATTACAACCAGGATGCAATAAGGAATGTATGTGCATGTGTTCGTGTGTGTGTGTGTGTGTGTGGTGTATGGGTTTACAGACCTAGTAAAATATCTCAGGTGCAGCAATAGATCTTGTATATGTGGTGTGTGTGTGTGTGTGTGTGTGTGTGTGTAGGGGTTTTACCATATACCACTATTGACAATAATAATGATATTTAACAATGAAATACTAAAATCGTGTTAATAATACACACATGATAATAGTGTGTAAGTAATCTAGTGCCATTTCTTTTCATTCATGCTTTGTGGTTCACACTCCAACAAAGTAGGTGGTGGTAATGCATCATAATGCTGGTTGCCTGTGTTACAGTTGAGTGTAATCCATTTGCCAAAAAAGAGACAAAACACACAATAAAAATATGAATCTGACTGGTAGCATTATTATTTTTCTTTAAATTTTCTATAGATATTGCAATAATATTGTCATCATGAATTCTTTTTTGCCACAATAACTGTGTAGTGAAAATCTAATATCATGACAGACCTAGTTTTAATTCAGTCTTTGTGCTGTAAGGACTAATTTCAGTTTACCCAGGTGTTTGTTTCAAAAGTGGACTTAAAAGGGCTGTCTTCAGGTTAGACTTGGTTTTAGGATTACACAACCCTAACATTTTACTAAAACACTATATATGTACGTACGTATACAAATATATATACTATATGTTGAGGGGAGTGTGTGGATGATCAATTTAGTTAATCACTGTATTCTTTCATTTAGTGTAATTATGTTGATAAAAATGCTTTCTTACCCCCTGAGTCACTCTGCTGTTGCTCTCCTTTTTACCCTGTTCTGATGTGCGTGAGTGTGTAGGGCGTGTGTGTATGTTACTCTGCACTGTATGTGTGTTTGCATGCAGTGTGTGCGTGTGTTTGTGCGCTGTGTGTGCATGTCGAGACATCCAGGTGACTCTGTAGTTGTGGACTGGCAGGTCTCCCTCTCTGGGGGGCTCCCAGTTTAATAAGACCGCCACTGTGACCCCACTTCCCCTCGACCTAAGGAGAGAAAACAAGTCAAACAACATCACAACATGGATGTAAACAAATTAATGGTAATAAAGTAGAAAGAAACATATTTCCTTATAAGTGAAAAAAAGAAGAAGTTGCACTGATTCGCAGTCATGCCGTGCTTGTTTGACATTTTGACATCGTGTTGAACAGAAGCTTCAATTTAAGTCCTCATCTCTGTTATTAAATGTTTTATTGGAATATTGCTGCTGATCCAAGCCATGGTCTGAACTTTTTATGACCTTGTTTAGCATTACAGCACATAAATAGAAAACAAGGATGAACTGTAATTTGCATCAGACAGCAATGACTATCCATTTGACCACATTTTATGACTGATTGCCCACATCGGCAGCCTGCAGTCCTGATGGGATGCATAGCAACTAACCCAGCAAGGAAAATAGGAAATGCATTTATTTAATGATCATTTCATTTGAGATACCTTTCTGTGAACTGGGTCCCTGGTTGTGAACCCGTCCAGTCCAGAGTCTGGTTGCTCACTCTCACATTTATTGGAGGTTCTGGAGGTGAGGGGTCTGCAGAGAGAGATGGGAAAATGCCGTCAAAGGGAGAAATGGCAGAAATTATCATCATAATAATAGGTGTAGGTACTTCCTCTCAGACCATAACCTCCACCAAGAAATATATTTTTATTTATTTTTTTATTAAAAAGAGGTAAACACAGCCTCTCTGGGGTATGGAACATAAAACACTATATTTGCAGCAAACATTCATACATTGTTTAATTTTATTTCATTAACTGAACAAAAATAGAAAAATACAATTATTTGTCAAAGGGTAGCCAAACTTTTGCAGGCAGAGGCAAAACATGGGGCAAAAAAAGTCTGAAAATTATGTTGTTGGTCATCCTTTGTCCCAGGGGCAAGGAAGCACTAAAAATATTCTATTAAGATTTAGTGAAGACTAATAGGGGTTAAGATTGTGATTCCCATAAAGCAGAGGCTGTTCACCAGCTTGACTGAATTGTCTAATAACTTGATGTTTAATGTGCTGCAGCAGAGCAAAATATAGAAGCCATTCCGGGGGGAAAAGGCTAATTTCCTCTTGGTCTCATTCAAGTCTACAAAGCCAATTAGATTTACAGCATCAAAGGTGAGCGACACTGGAGAAGCTTGAAGCCTCCATTTTCAGTAGCAACCACAACACAGACCAAAGGCGACCACCACTAAGTCACTGTTTGCCTCCGAGATTAAATCCCGAGGTTGTTGCTCTTTCAACACCGGCTCTGTATCTCATTAGAACCTCAAACTCCAATCCTGTATTTGATTAAAACTACAAAATGTATTTGATTAGAACTACAACCCCCATGGCAGGCATCCCACAGGCCCCAGGCTGTGCTTGACTGACCCAGATGCAGAGATCAAAGTTAGGGCAGCATATTAGGGCTGCAAGACCTGGCCTGTTTGTGTGTGCATGTGTGGTTTTTGGTTGAAAAAAGCAGAGTGTCTCTCAGTGCCAGCAGTCATTTTCAGATCAGAACCAAAACACACATTCTTTTCTGAGGCCTTTTTCACTCCGTGTGTCTCCCTTAATCAGCTGATTTCAGTCCATTGTTTCATGAAATGAAGACATCAAGATGAGTTTTTCTGATCCAGACATTCCCTCCTAATTACCGCTGGCAGATCCTGTGCAACCCTAACATCTGAATGAACAGGAAAGGGAATTTTCTGATTCGAATTCTCTCTCTGGTTAGCATCAGGTCACAGTGGAAGAACTTCAACCATCCTGACATCTGCCAGCTTCCTGATTTGTAACCCCTGACCTCCAGTCCCTGACTAATCAGAATAATGAACTGGAAACACAAGACTCTGACTCTGATCAGATGGTATTTAGAATGTTTTAAGTGTGTCTTTAACCTTTGACCCTGGCCCTCAACATACATACACATACAAAAGGATGAACATACACACACTTAGGGAATAAGTCAACATTTTACAATATAAGCTCACTTGCTTTCTTGCAGAGAGGTTGATGAGAATGTCAATACAACTCTCTTAGCTTAGCATAAAGACCTGAAACAGAAGCACGTTTCACTATATGGAAGTCTGATGGATAAACCTGGGTTTGGTGGATGCCAGGAGAATGCCACAGTTCCAACCAGATCTCATAGAGCCTACTGTAAAGTTTGGTGGAGGAGGGATAATGGTATGTGGCTGTTTTCCAGAGTTTGGGCTAGTTTGGACCCCTTAGTTCCAGTGAAGGGTCTCCTTAATGCTACAGGATACGAAGACAGCCAACTGGGTGCTTCTAACTTTGTGGCAAAAGTTTGGGGAAGGCCCTTTGCTGTTCCAGCATGACTGCGCCCCTGTGCACAAAGTGAGGTCCATTAGGACGTGGTTAGACGAGTTTGGTGTGGAGGAGCTTAATTGACCTGCACAGAGCCTTGACCTCAAGCCCACTGAACACCTTTGGGAGGATTTAGAACGCCGATTGCAAGCCAGGCCTTCTCGTCCAAGATCAGTGCCTGACCTCACAACTGCTCTTTTCGCTTAATGGCACAAATGCCCAGAGACAGTCCAAAATCTTGTGGAAAGCCTTCCCAGAAGAGTGGCAGCTGTTGTAGTCGAGAAGGGGGTGTCCAAATCCATTGTAATGCCCATGGTGTTAGAATGGGATGTCCAACAAGCTCATATAGGTGTTATGGTCACTTTTTGCCATACAGTGTACGTTATACCCTTAATACAAGCACAAAAAAACAATACATGTGAACGACACCTGTTTATATTATTAATAATTCCAACTTAATATATATAACGTGCAGACAAGAGAGTGGTATCAATCTTCTTATCTCACCTTTAGCAAGAAAGCAAATAATAGCATTTCTCAAATGTTCAAATATTCCTTGACATGGCATAAGGAATTTTACAGCTTGGATCTGTGTTGAAGGCGGTGGAAAATGCTATCTCAGACACCTCTTCATAATCTCCCATAAGTGCTCAATTGATAAAGAACCTTTTTCCAAAGCTCGCTCCAACCTGAAGTCATTATTCACATACAAACATGCTCCAGCCAATCCTGGCAGGGGTTTCATATCACTAGCCAATCCTGGCGCAACACCAATATGACCTAAGTCTGCTAAACATTAAAGCGAGGACCTCCTACAGTGTGTGCGTGTGTGTGCGTCTTACTCTCACTTTCACCCTGTCTCACTGACCCACACCAGGGATTTCGCTCTGGCACTAAACCAACTGAATGAGTATGTGTACAGTATATGTATGTGTGTCTGTACAGTATGTGTGAATATGTGTAGTTGTGTGTGTTTTCTGTTTCCTGTCTGTGCTTTATGGACTGCCTGATATTTTTCCTGCTGTGTGTACCTTATCCATCAACTCTGAGTGAAAGAGAGAGAAAGAACAGGGAAGGACAGGAAGGGAAATGTTCCTGAGTTTTCGGACTTGTCCTCAGAGAGGTGTAATATCTCTCATAAAATGACACAAATGGAACGTAAGGATCTGCGTTTTGCTCAGTGTCTCTTGACAGAATATCAAAATTCACAGATAGCTTAAGGAAACATGCAGGAGGAATTGTCTCTCTCTGAGGGACATAAGAGTTCTCTAAAGAAAATGAGAGTATGCGTTTGGACTGTGTTTGTATTACCTTTACTGGAGATGTAGTGTTTGCTGGGTGTGGTGAAGCCTCTGCTGCCGTGGCTGTTGATGGCTGCTACTCTGAACTGGTACCAGCGTTGAGGTCTCAAATCTGACAGAACCACCTCTTCAGAAAGGGTCTAGAAGTATAAACACATTACATATAACAGTGACTAGGTGCATGACAGAAAAACACTTTGAGCAGGTACAGACTCATTACTTTCCTTCATCTAACAGATAAAATGATACATCATCCATAACAGATTCAAAGAGTAAGTCATCAACCCTTGAAAATCTCCAGTGGTTTAACTTCTCAAACTTACCACAGTGATGTACAGGTGTACTCCAGGACACAGTGACATTACTGTTGGGTGGGCAACAGGCTTGAAACAAAGTTTTCAGCCTGATTTCAGCCTGGCTGTATCTTTTTAATCAGCAGCTGATTAGTTTAGCTTAGCTTAGCAAGAGTGAAAACAGGGGGGAAAGCTAGCCTGATATTTACGTGTTAATTAGAGCTTTAGAGGTGCTGGTAGGCAGATTTTGTTACCTTTGGACAGAGCCATGCTAGCTTTGTACAGATAGGAGAGAGTCATCAATCTTCTCTCAGCAAGAAAGACACACATATTTCCCACAATGACAAACTATTAGTTTAACATTATTCCAGGTCCTACAAGTTTTTAATACTTTTAATACTAAAATTAGATGCTCTGTCATCTCTCACAAATTCATACTATACCTTCTTTCAAAAACATGACATAAAGCCTTGAGTAAGTTATACATATATGAGTTTCAGAAGTTAATGAGCTGGAAAGTCAGATGAACACAGTCGGATTGGAATTCCATCTGATAATAGTGAATTAAACGATTTGCCAAAATTATGGTTAAAATTGCTTCAAAGCTTCACATGTTTTGTCTCCTTGACAGTGCAAATGTAATCACTGCTTAAAATCTACTCATCCACAATCACACACAACACACACAAACACACACACACACACACACACTCACAGACACGAGCTGCCATCTATTTAAGTCTATAATGAGCATTCAGTCATTCAGAGTCAGCCGATGGAACGACTGTGGCTGCCTGTGGTTCCTTTTTAAGCTCTGCTTATTTACCTAACCTCACACAGGCACACACACATGGACATACAGTGCACACACACACACTCACTCATACACATACACACGCACAGACATACGGTTTACCCTGGCAGAATGGGAGACTGGCTGGGGTGGAGAGGTTTAGACAGCAAGGCAGCAGACGGATGAGGTGGAAACAGAGTCTAACATCCATCTCCATAGCTGAGAAGTTTCATCATTCGAGGCAAATTGAGAGTTATGAGGTAAAGATATGTTACAAACTTTGTGGCGTTGTTCCACTGTTAAAGGCACAGGGAAGCATTTTTATGGCTTCAGTGATTCAAAGTTGCTAGTTAGACAGAATCAGCTATACGATATGTTGTTCCATGAGGATGACATTAACAGCAATCTCTTCAAATGTCAGAAATGACTCAAATACATTTATCTTTCAATCACTGTACAATGAGAAGTTTCTTTCTAAATCTTATCTTATCTTATATCTCAAACCTTCTAATCTTCAAATAAAGACTTGGCATTAAAGGTGACATGCTGCTGGTTACTGTAGTTACCATGGCAACAGTAGCCCACAGCGTGGCGTGGTCTTCACTGGGATGAATCCCATTGTTCCAGCGGGACTGGAGCATGTAAACGATCGGCTCCACGCTGACATTGAACTTTGACACCCACGCCACTTTCATGTCACCCTCTGAATCTTCTACAAAGCTCATCTCTCTGCGAGGCTTCAGAGGAACACCTGCAAGAGAGAGAAGAAGAGATTATTTAAATAAATTTTTTATTTCGAAGGGCAATTCAGAAAAGTGATGTTATTCAAAACTTATTTAAAATACATTTAAGTAACATCTGATTGTGTGACTGATTGTCTAAGTATAGAAGGATATTGTATGATACAGGTTGTAATTTTCTGATGGGATATTTAAATAAAGATGACTTGATTATCAACATAGTGGCACTAGGAATAGGTGGTATAGATGGCACATGGACAAGCATTAGAGCTAACAGGATGTCTCAAACACCATCATATCTAAATATTATAGAACATATGTTATATATTCAGTGCATTAAAGACTTTTTATAAATAAAAAATATGATGATTCCATTGTTATTGACTGACATTCATTAAATGATCAGCTTCAATTCCACGTAGGCATCTGAGGCCGCTTGTACTCCCTACTAGCTTTACACAGACTTGAGCTGGAGCTTTTAACCACGGCGGGACCGTCTGGGACTCAAGATGCAGTCAAGCACGCAGTATTTAAGGATCTTTATTACATTAAATTACATTTCATTCACTTGGCAGACACTTAGAACCAAAGTTACTTACAATAAGTACATTTAAACACCATAGCAACAAGAGCTACATGTCATCAAATAATGGAAGCATCCCTCTCACAGAAACAACTAAAAGTGTGTTTAGTGCTATAAGTAACCTGCATGGGTGGTCAATTATAGCATATCAGCTAACAGAGATCCTTTTTAATCAACATCCGTTACTTTTAATCAGCACAGTGTCATGCTTATTGAAACAATCAAAAACACTTTACTCTTTAAACCATTTCCATCAGGGCAGCAGCCTCTTATAATAAATCCCACGAGATGTTACAAACCAGTCCCAACCAGCTGCCAGGGACTCGCCTTTACCTTTATATAGATTGGCTGGGGCTTGGCAAGTGTGTCCGCAGCCATTAGAGCAGCATTTCCTTGGGGAGGGACAATGCTGGTCTGACGAGCAGCTTTCCACACAGGCTGCAGCGAACCCGGTCGCTCGCTGAGGCGGAGGGCAGTCGCCCTGACGAGACGACCTCAGAGAGGTCAGAAACTCCCTGCTCGTCACACACTCTGTCTGCTTCTGAGAGACAGAGGGGGAATTGTTATTAGTACAGTTGACACACTACGGAAATAATACGTAATGTATAAACACACATATGAGGGCAGAAAAACACACACGAGAGGTAAAAGCGTTTCCTTTGGTAAACTCCTACTGACTCTTTGAAGACAGCCCTTGAGATCTGGCCTGAAAAGGAGGTGCATAACTCTGCGTGTGTGTGTATCTCCGTGTCTGTGCACATGGCTGCAGATCAGCAAAATGTAAACACAAGCTTTAGCTAATAGCTCTGAATTACCCTGTGTTCCTAACCAGCCAGCCAGTCAGCCATCCAGCCAGTAACATGCTTCAGCTATTGTGATGAAAAACTAATCTGAAGACCATAGCGACCCGCTTTACAAATAATCATTTAGGGCCACACACACAAAATACGCATATGGCTGATGCACACTCTCATGTGTATACATTCAAAAGCTCACAAACATGTTATTCATACACACATAAGGCTTGCATAAACACACACAGGAATGTTCATTCACTTAGCTTCATGTTGCCAACAAAAGCAGGTTTCTGGTGCAGGAGTGACACTGCCACCAAGGGTGTTGTGACACACACCCCCCAACCATACACATACACACACACACACACACATACATACTCTCTCTTTCTGTCTTACCTCACAGGACTTTGGAGAAAGCACCTTCCTGGTTTCCCACAGTTCTTTGCATGGCTGAAGACACTACACAAAAACAAACAAATGGAAATAATCAAAGTATGAGGCTTTAGGCACACAATAAAGTAAGGGTTTTACAATTTACACTTGCTTCATCACACATGATTAAACATGAAGTTGTACATCAACATCAACACCTTAAATAGTTCAGTATTTTTAAGAAATATGCTTAGTACTTGCTTTCTACTGGAGAGTCAGTCTGTTCAATACGACACTACAGCCTGCAGCCTGCTTAGCTTAGCACAAAGACTGGAAATAGGGGGGGAAGCTAGCCTGACTCCATCCAAAGGTAACAAAATCCACCTCATAACTAACACCTCACAAATTAACACTATATAGTTATTTGACGCTTTTTTCTTGGCTGGCAGCAACAACTTCCTGGACTTTTTCCGCTGATTGTCTAGCAACTGGAAGAAATCGTCTCTCACATGGCCTTTAAAACAGGGAATTACACAATAGATTTTGGTTTTTGTGCAAATTAAACTAATTAAATATGAAATGTTAATAAGTGAGCTTTAGAGGTGCTCGTAGACAGATTTTGCTACCTTCGTACAGCATCAGGCTAACTCTTTCACCCTGCTTCCAGTCTCTATGCTAAGCTAAGCCAACCTGTTACTGACTGTAGCCTTGTATTTTTGGATACTTAAGGCTATCACATTTTTAATCTAATTAAGAAACTGCCAGGATGCAAAAATAATTTCCCAAAATGTCAAACTATTCCCTTAGCTGAGGTTTGAAGAAAAGGAAAAAAGTGTAAAAACAAGGATAAATGGTGCCAGAGGATTTTTGCATTTGCAGAGACCGAGCTCTCAGTGTTTAAGCAGGTAGGGAACACAACACACACACTCTCCTAGAGCACACATGCACACCCTCATCTGGTTTGCCACCTCGGTGAACTGGTGAATGATGGCTCTTACCAAATCAAAACCAGACAACATATAAAAACTGCGGTTTCACCCCCAACCTCCTCTCTCACTCACTCTGTCTGTCTGTCTCCCTCAGCTCCCCAGTGTGCCTGGATTCAATCATTTCTCCAGTTTATTCCATCTCAATGATTCCAGGGGAACAAACAGAATCAACAAAAAGCCATAAAAACTTCATCTTTGAAAAAAATAAATAAAAGGCTACTGTTGATGAAAACGTCTTCTCCAGAAGCTGTTTTAAGCAGGGGTCATTTGCAGACTGATGACTATGAATATTACAAATGACAACTGTGTGGGCTTTTAGGGTTATCATCACACTTGAGCACTGCTTTCAAAACCATGTAAACTTTCCTTTCATGATAAAATAAAGGACAACACTACAACTTGCCATGCAGCATCAACAAACCGAAAGCCAGTGAAGCCACAAGTGCTGGTTTCTTAACCTATGGGACATAAAATGGAGTCTCAGCATGAAGCGTGATAGCTGTTTAATGTTGTGCAGTCGGTTCATTTCATTTAAGTCATGGAAGAAAAAGTTTTGGTTTGCTTAAAGTCAGACTCCACCCCGAAATCTCTCTTTTGAGTATTAAAACCCTCTTGCTCTGTAGGGTTGAAATGAAGCTGTAAAAAGGTTGTAGTTTGCTCTTTCGCAGGGAACAAAGGCTGCGGCCAGTTTACATTGACGTAGGTTACAATGGACTCCTAAAGTGACTACAAAAATCAAAATATCGACGAACAATTTTAAATCCTTCTCTGCTGTCCATCCATCCTTAAAAAGTGACTTAAAAACTAATTTGTACATTTCTGCAAATTGTTCACGTTGATGTCGTAAGTTAGAAATGTTCTGATAACGTTAAAGAAGTTCATACAACCGTTTCATGTACAGTATATTTTGATAAGTGAATTATTAGTGAACTATTATAAAATCATGACCATTTTTGGAGTCAAAACCAAAGTTCAACACACATCCAGAGCTGCAACAACTATTGGTCAATTAATTGGAAAATTAATCAGCAACTATTTTGATAATCGCTTAATCTAACTTCTCAAATGTGACTATTTTATGGGTCCACAGTCTTTTATGATAGGGAGTTGTGAACCCCTAGTTGGACAAAACAACACATTTAACAATGTCACCTTGGTCTTTGGGAGGTTATGATGGACATCTTTTCATCATTTTGTCACATAGACCAAATAATTAATCAAGAGAATAAACAGTTTGTAATAAAAAAAGTTGCAGCCTACACACATTGTATCATTAAGCATGAGTACAACCTGATATGTCATACAGGCAGAAGTAGTCAAGGTACAAAAGCTGGGATATGTCAGTCCCGGGGAGTAAATGTGCTGCTTTTTAGGATTTGTCAAGATGGCCAGCGTGTGTGTTTTTTCATAGGAAACAATAATTGCAGGTGTCTCTTTAGGCATCACAACAAGTTCTTGGTATTTAAAATATGGTCAAATGGAGAAAATATGACTGGTTGGAACACAATTCCCATATGGATTAGGAGTTTTTATGAATCCATTAAAACTGCTAAGCTGACCACAACCATTGTTCTTCACGAAGAAGCAAATTACAAACCGTTCGTAGCCCTCTGTCCACAATAGATACAATTTACAAGATGTTTCTCTTGAAGTTATTTTCCCTTTTTCTCCTCTGTAAGTTAATTATGCATTCCTCAAAGAGTCTGGGTATGAGGAGACAGGGAGATAATGCAAGACACCCATCCACACACACACACACACACACACACACACACACTAACACATAGTACTGTAACCAGATCCAGTGTGATGTGTTTCTTCAAGGAGCTCTCGTGGGTCTCTTCACTCGACCACGTGCTGCTCAGGTTGTCAAAATCTCCCCAAAAACACCTCATACACACACACACACACATACACAGACACACATACACACACACTCCATCTTGCATCCAAACCCAACCCACTCTGTACTCCCCCCCTCTCCTCCTTTACTGCCACTTTGATCAGTTACAGACATCTTTAATTTTTCATTCCTCTGCTCTTGTCCTTTATCCTCCCTTATTCCTCTCCCCTCCTCCCAACCCTTTTCCATAATCCTCTGTTCTTTTTGTCTCCTGTCTTCACATTATCACTCCCCTTCTTCTCCTCCATGACCCTCATCTCTGCGCTGCCTTTATCTAACTCCTTCCTTGCCTCATCTCAATACCTCTTCTCTCCTTCTTCCTCTGCTCTCTCAGGCTTATCCTCCTCTCCTCTATAAGGCTAAAACTCCCACTGAAGTTCATCATTGGGTGTTTACACAGTCTGACGGTAAAAGGCAATCGCTGGCAAATGTAATAGCAATGTCACAGGTTTGAGTCCTTTTCCTCTCCTTGTCTCTACTTCGCGGTAGTCAAATATGTCCCAAAAACTAAATACTAAACACACCCATCTATCATATTTTACATAATAATGAATACTAACTCTTAACATAAACACCAATAATAACTATTGCTCTTCTTGTGCAATTGGAATATTAAACATGAAACTGCACTTTTACACCAAGCAGTCAGTGTAGGTGCACACAGATGTTTTGATGAAGTTTTATATTTCACATACTGTCTTAAACGCCTCTCTCTTTTAATGTAACGTTAAGTTGAAGTTGAATTCAAAAACAAATTTCCACCACGGTGGACAATAAAGTTGTATTTTGAATTATACATCATATGCTACTTTATACTTTTTCCTCACCTCACAAATGCTCTACTTCTTACTCTTTTAAGTATAGTTTTAATGCAACAAAAGATTGCTTTACAAAGTATGATGAATTATTAATGGAATAATTGTACATAAAATAGTCAAAATTAGTTACACTTTGAACAACTACAACAGTTAAATACTGCTCACATGTTATCAGTGATAATGACAATCAAAACATACATTTTAATATATTAATAAAACACTGACATTCTTCACTTTAATGTTTGATACTGAAGTAATAAATGTGAGTATCAGTAGAACGGTCGGGAGAGGGGAAAAAGGGGTGGGGGGTCGAAGCAAATGAATTTAAGCTGAAAACACTTGTGGTATGTAAGTGGTACACACCTTACACTCTCAAATATCACTTGGATGTTGTAAATCATTGAAAAGTACATGCACTATATTTGTGTAAGAGGAGCTGAGAGACGAACAGACACTTTTGGCCTTGAAGGCGACATGATGAGTTATGTGTGTGAGGGAGAGAGAGCGGTAGACACAGCAGAGATCAGAGGTCAGAGATGTTACTGTTTAACACACTAACAACAGAGCCTAGATTAATGACCATGTAGGTGTCTGTATGTGTGCACAGTTTGCATAGGAGCTCCTCAGATATCTGTGTAATAATTAATCACACACACACACACACACACACACCTACACAAACACACACCTTGTCTCTCTGGCTTCTCCTGCTGTTTTATGGCCTCACCTGCCACGATAGAGGGATGACAGCCACACTCAGCGAGAGGGGAGGAGAGGAAATGGGAGAGGGAGGAGAGGAGAGATGTGGTTTCAGAGTGGATAGAGGGGGGGAAAGCAGTGAGTGTCAGTTGAAAAGGAGAGAAGAGATGAAAGACAAATAGTGAAACAGGTCCAGGGAAAAGGGAGAGAGAGACAAAGAAAGACAGCAACAGACCAGATGTTCTCACTCTCCAGACACGGTCACCAGTTGAATGGGTCCAATGTGAAAAACTATTTATGTTAATTTATGTGTTCAGCTTGTCATCGGTTGTTCAGTCCATTTTATACTTTTTACCCTACAGCACATATGTGTAGCTTTTATGGTTGAGTATTGTTTGGACTATTCTTTTATTTTTGGTGCATAAAGTGCCCGTGCTAATATCAAAACTATACTTGTATACTACTGTCTATTCAGCAAAGGAAGCCAAGGTTAATTGTCAGCTATACACAAGATGCCATAATACAAATGTGTACAACTGGCAATATTAAATAATGTAATATACATAAATTAAGAACTATTTGATCAGTGAATAGGTACCAGTCGATGCCAGCTCTCTGTACTTGACATTTTTAGTTACAGACACATTTCAGTCAGTACCAAGAAGGTATTAATGTACA